CTCCCCAAACGAACCAAGCTACTGTTTGCAAGAAAAAATCCCTTTAAATAGACAATAAATACCTCTAAAGCTATAAGCAGGGAAAACAAAAACCTGCAACCACCGAAGGAGTATAACCGAACAAAAAAAACTCAGCCTAGAGACCTAGAAGTGAGAGCTCAAAAACTACTAGTTTACTCTACTAGCACTGTTGATGTTGGATGTTGGAACAACCGATGCCACGTTGGTGTATCTATCTATCAACTAATTTAGCTATATAAGAGTTAACGGTAACATTTAGCTTGGTCAATAAAGCATAATTAAACTCGATCCACTGGTTATTATCACATTAGGTGTTACTGGATATCAACTTGCTGGATGGAAGTTATTAGAAGCCTAAATTTATTGTATATTTTATGATAGCACAAACAGTGGTTTTAGATACAACTGATTCCTGACCATATCTTATTGACTTACCCATATTATTTAAAGAAGCAGCTTCATACTTCTGACAAAACTATTCGCAAGCTTTTTGTAATGGTTTGACGTGTCTAGTTTTCATTAACAGCAGTCGCGATATAGGAATGGTTGCATTCATATCCTATTAATTACATGTATGTTTCAGTCTGAGGTCTAATGGGGTGTTCAAAATTGTTGGATGATATCTACTTCGGTGACTGGAACGCTGTTACTGACTCCAGTAAGCTCATAAAACTTACTTCAGGATTTCTTAGCTTCTGCTTCGCGTTACATGACTTTGAGCCAGTTTGAGTGGAATCTCGGTGATGAACTGTCTGTTATGGTATCACTTTTTTATTCATAAGGCAATGTTGATTGAAATAGTCGTACTACTCATCACTTTATGGGTGGTCAGTGTGGGGATTGCTTATTTTGACAATTATGTCAATTTTCTAGTCATGTTACCTTTAATTCAATCATCTAAACCTGGATGTATCTAACATCAATATTGCTGACCTCCGAAACAGTAGTGGTGGCTTCCACCGTGTAACTTCATTTAACTGCACTTGTATTTACTTCGCTAGTCTCTGGAGAAAATATTTAAGTAGTTCATGGACACACCTTGACATGTCTATTGTTTGCCGTTGTGATAATTAAAAAGGCGAATAATATTTCATTGAGATCACGATGTGTGACAACTCGGATCTATTCATTTTACACCGCGTCCTACTTTATTTGCTTCCCCCGGCAGTTACCACTAGGTATCACAGAAACTGTAATTAGGTTGTTAAGGCAGTTAAGTAAGGTTCACAAGCAGTGCTCTACTGAGTATTGTATGAGGGGATGGTTTTACGAAGTAACTATCAAGCGATTCCATTACTGATAGTGGCTACCTTGATTTATTGAAGGAGCTTGCATATCACAATGGTCCAATGATCTCGAAAAAGTGGAAATCCATTCAGTAACCTCGTGCACATTTGTGCAGTAGGCAATGAGCCATACCTATTGTGCAAGGGCTAATGATACTACCTGGATGCCCAAACCTTGGTAGGTAGAGTGAGGGTTGAACCCGTATCCAGCTGGCTGGTCGTCTCCCTAAACCACTAAACCATGACTTTCGTCGAATTGGTCAATAATCTCCATTAGCAAAAATTGACATCTTAGGTCACGGATATGTACCGTTCGTCGGATACACCTATACTGGTATGGTTATTCCCTTAACATCACCCAACCAATATGGTGAATCTATCAAATTCGATCTTCGAGTTTCTAGAGGTTCGATGTCTAGTTCTCATAGTCTTGTAGGTGTAGGTATGGCGTTAATTGGTAAGGTGGGAAGTAGTGCACTGAAGACTAAAAATGATAGTAAAACTCGCCGTCATCTCTTTATAATCTCTGTTTACAAACCTGACTGCATTTTTAATACAGTTTAGGATAAATTCTACTTGAAACTGTCTAGTCTTCTCCTGAAAGCCGAACGTTTAGATATCGTTGTCTCAGCAGGTGATTTCAATACTCAAGTGAGTAGGCTAGGTCAAACAGAAAGGTACTTTGTTGGCCCGACCGTTGCAAGCGCAACTGGGAAGTAAGAATACTAAAGCTGCTTTATGTGAGTAACTGGCTAAACAGTTATCGGAACAGAATGACGTCACTCATCCAGAAAAAGTCTAGCGCTACTTCTGGTCTGCTGTAAAACAGCGTTAAGGACTGTAAATTACTCTCAGAAAGTCAGTGGTTTTCAGCAGCTTCTAAATTACTGGAATCGCCTGAACTCATTCCTACAGGCTCCAAACTCAAGAAGGAGGAGAAGCAACTGAAATGTAGGCTGAAGTTTACTTACTGGTAAGTAGCAGTGGTTGGTAGTGGAGGATAAAAAGAACGTGACGATGGGTAACTGATGAGACTGTAGCAAAGAAGGATGGGACTCTGATTTATTCGTGGGATCGACGACTGGTACGATAGGCGAAACACTTAAAGGAACACTTCAACTGGTCTCCGGCTACCATTCCGTTACCCGCTATCTAGTCGGATCCTAAATGAAAAGCAGAGATAGCTCCCACCCAACTTTCTCAGAATTTATGAAGGCTGTAATTAACCTGAAATGGGGAACGGCAGATAGTTAGTAACAGAAGTGGTCGAGAATTATTGATGAGGTTACTTGAGGTGTTACTCACCCTCTTGGATCCTTTTCTACTAGTCTCAGTCACTGGTTGTTCTAGTCATGAGAATGGAGAAAAATCCTCCTGTGATAACCACATGGGAATCAGTCTAGTGAAATTAGTCTAAGATTCTAGGTTTCGTAATCATTAAGCGCTTACGTCAAGCTTGGGAACAGCAAACCCAAAAAACTAAACAGGTTTCAGACTTAGTCATGAGCAGACCAGATATTCATTCTCTGCTAGGTTTTGGAACACAAACTGACTGACTGGTTGACAAAATCAACGTAAAACCCCGCATACAGGTGTATAGGTGCAAGTTACCACACTTCACAGTAGTACACAAATAACAGGTGGATAGAAAAGGTGGTATCAAAGTAGATAAAGTTGCGTAAGAGAATAAACAATTTGAAGATGAAGGTTATTGTGAATATCCAAGCTTTAAAAGATAACAAGGAGTGAATACATCTGCGCCATTGCGACCAGTTTCCAGCCATGTCACCAAGAGTCCTCAACCACTGATTGTTCTCGTCTCGGGGACCACAGCCACGTAGTCTACACTTCACTACATGGTTCAAACCAACAGTCATGAACTGTTACCATGTATTGGTCTGGCTACCGTGAGCCCACTTCGAACCTAATCTAGCTTCCACTAGCATGGGATGTTTAGATAGGCGGTGGCTCGGCATTTTACTGTACATCTCCAAGCCATCTCAGTCACTTAGGGTTCACAACCTCACCAGTTGACTTGCCTTTCTTGCCTAGTACCTTTTCCCCTGACCTCGACATTGCTCACGTGGTGATTTCACTATGCTCGAGCAATGCTAGAAAGACACCCATGATCAGAACCCTGTAACCGCTTCGTGTCGTATACTTTTAACGGCTGTTTCACAGCCGTACAACAGGATAAAACGGACTATAGCCCAGTATACTTTGATAGATAGTCGGATATCTTGCCGGTCGGCACCACAGGTGACGCAAGTCGACAAATGCTAAATAAGCCTTTTGTATCCGAGCTGAAATCTCACCTACCAACCCGTTCGGGTTAACGCAACTCCCCAAGTAAGTGAAGTGGTCGACATATTCCACCATTTCACTCCCCATCATTAAACTGGGAGTGGTTACAAACCAGTCTTGGAGCATCATCTTATATTTGACAGGTGCAAGCGAAACGCATGCCAAACATACTCAGGTTTCTGCTCAGCGTGTTCAGAAGACCCCGCATTTTGTCAGCTTCTTCACCTAAAAGGACAAGATGGATGCATTCACATATTATCGTCATCTGAATCATCATACTGAATTTCGCTTTTGCCTTACCCTTTCTTGTTCCGTTTCCAAGACCTCCTGACACTTAGATTACTTCCTCCCTTATTTCTCTATCTTTTATCGTGGTACCTCCTAGGATAATATGTCAATATGAGGTGTGCGAAATTAAACCGTTACGCAGTAATGCCAGATCTCATGTTGATATTGATTGATCTAACGCTTCATAAGGATGAAAGCAAATTAAAACCCATTAATCACGAGTTGGGAAGTGGGGTGATGTGTAAGTAAGAACTTATGTGTGAAGCTGAAACCTATTGATTTGGGATCTCGATTCCCAACCGATGGGTCACGGATTCGAATCACACACCATCTATGGATACCTGAGCAACCAAGTAGGATCACTAATCCTCACAATTGGTTTGGCTCATTGCTTACTGCACATAGTAAATCGCACTGAGTGAATATCTATTTTCTCCACAGGAATGCTACTATGTACTTGTTCTAGTTGTGTTTAACTGAAGGTAGTACCGAGCAGGTATTTCATGCCTGTACAGCTCTCTACTCGAACTCATCCAGCCGTTTGAGAGCTTCTAAAGAGTCGTTGTCTAAAGTAACAGCAACCAGTAGTGTTCACCAAGGATACCCACTGTCATTATTCTTGTTTAATTCTGTTACACTACTGGATATGACCCTAGGTATCTTCTCAGGGCTTGACTTACTCCTAGGAGGAGGTCACCTGGTCTCCTTGGGGCATGTTGACAACATTGTGTTAGGTGGAATACGCTGAAAAAAATGTGCACACTTCTGATCACTTTTAGCAGAAATACAAGTATATTTCGAACTGGTAAAAGTAACTTGATACCCTGGAACACTGGTCTGCACCAACTCCTAGTGTAGGGATAGGGAGTGATGTGGTGGAATATGTTGACTACTTCAATTACTCACGGATTTGCATACAACCTATTGTTGCAGAGTGGTCGCTGTAATATTTGACCTATTATGTCATATTTTCCTCGCCGGTATTGCGGTTGTTTAGCTGTTGAGGTGTTTTTGCAATATATTTCCTATGAAGGATCTGTTGCATTATTATTATATTTAGCAGATTGATGTATTTTCTGTTCATCCTTATTTCTTGTTTAGCAAAATATTGGTTATAATCCCAATGAACCAACTGAAGATCTCAAGGCATTTGAGCGTCGTCTACGAGAGATTATCAATGGTTTAGGTCCTAAAGCATTGAAGTGGCGTATTGTTTTGTTTGTTGGTGTTGTAATGTTTTTATGCTCTTCGTATTGGTGGCTTTCTGATCCTGTCACTTATCAAGTCGGTTTTCTTGGTTCTCTAAAATTGCATCCGGAATTTGTATTCAGTCTTGTGTTCCTCATGATTATTTTCTTTATGGGAGCGCATAAAAAGGTTGTTTTGCCAAGTATCATTGCACATCGCAGCCGAATCGTCTTAGCTGAATATAACATGGCGTGTGATAATTCCGGAAGCTGATTTTGAGGCCTAAGCCTAATCTTTGAATCAATCATTTACAACTGTTTGTACATAATGTGTGTAATGATGATCAACCTTTCAGTCTTTCACTACTCTTTCTGTTTTCAACCATTCACTATTCAATTTGTTTACCCATTCTGTGAACAAACAAGAAGCAAGGTGATACAGAGTTCGTAACATATTCTTTGAATTTTTGTGCTTGGAACAACCTGAGGAATAAATTTATATTCACATGAATTACCTAGTGAATTGTTATTCATTGGAATTTTTATCACCTTTCTTTTCCTTTTTTCAATTAGATTATTGCAATAAATTATCGATATGATTTGAATGCATAACTTGCTTTTTCGTAAGATAAACAAAATAACAAGGGGGTGCGTTTTTAGAATTTATTTCCATGCAGTTTTCGTACAAATCCCACAGTTCCTTACACCGTCATTGAATCTTAATCCCTAACTCTTAAACGTGGTGTCGTCAATTATGGTATCTGTCTGTCACTTTTACTATATGTGTCATCAACCTCATATTGTACCTTCATCGACTGAAGTGGGTTGGACATGTGCTGCGTATTCGGAAGCATCGCCTACCTCAAAATACAGTGCTAGAAGAAGTCAGATTAGATTGGATGAAGGGTCAGGGTGACCAGGCCAAGATGTGACACTAGTGTTGGTCTGAGGTGTGTAGTGAGGTGTAGATTACCTGGCTGAGGTTCTGGAGATGATAGGAATCAGTAGTTGAGGACTAACTGTTGGTGACATGGATGAAAATCTGTCACAATGGTGCAGATGTATTCTTTCTTTAATGTCTCCTAAAGCTTGAATATTTTGACTAAACATAATTCTTAAATTCCCTCTCCTCTTATACACGTTTGTCTACCTTGATGTTAGTCTTATTTATACACTTTTTCTTTGTATACTACTGTAAATTGTGGCATCTTGGACGGATGCATTTGTTTGCGAGGTTCTACATTGATTTTATCTATCTGCCTGTCTGTTTGTGGACGGATTAAGTTCTAAGTGATTGTGTATAAAATTACATATTCCCTCTTACACTACAGTTCTCTACTTTTAACGAATGAGTTATTTAATTTATGAATAGCACTTTAATTATGTCAATCTAGCTTAACAGAGAGTGTTCAGTTGATTTCGGACAAATATCAACGTTTCTGATGCAAAAATCTGCTCTCATATTGTTTGTTCGGGAAAAGTACCACTCACTCACCTACTCTTAGCAGCACTGGTCTCATTGAATAACACTGTGGACTCATCTGGTTCTGCAATCGATGCCAATATGTCGAGTGAAACGATACGCCTTACAAGACGGATCCACTACCCTGAGCTATAGCTTTGTGTTACATTTCTGAAGCATTGTAAACCAGATTTAATTAATAATAATATAATATTTCGAATAGTGAATTATACGAAGACAGAGGTAATGAAGATATCCAACCGACAACAAGCATCAATCACCATGGACGGGAGAAACCTAAAGGAAGTAGTCTCTCTCACCTATCTAGGCAGCATCGTTTCAACTACAGAGGGCGATGGCACAGATGAAGACGTCAAAGCCAGGATCGGAAAAGCAAGACAGGCTTTCAGTAATCTTAAATCAGTGTGAAGATCTACTTCATTCAACATAAAGAACAAGATCCGGATTTTCAACACCGTGTCAAGCCAGTGCTTCTACATGATGGTTCAGAAACTTGGCGTGTCACGAAAAGCATTTCCAACAAATAACAAACATTCATAAACAGCTGCCTACGCTTGATACTGAAGACTAGATGGTCAGAAAGAATAAGCAACAAGGAATTCGGGCCTGGAAACGAGCCAACCAAGAACCCATCGCCCAAGAAATATGCAGAAGAAAGTGGAGATGGATTGGGCATACAGTGAGAAGGCCGGTTGGGGACATCACGTGTCAGGCCAGGCCATTGAGTGGAACCCAAAGGGGGAATGACGAGTTGGGTGTCCGAGGAGAGGATGACATGGAGGAGATGGTGTGAGGAAGAAATGAAAGCTTGTGGGAAGTGGTGGTGTCCGTTTGGAAATACTGCAGAGAAGAGAGTGGAATGGAGACGTGCTACTGAGGCCTTTTGTTCCACTAAGAACCCAAGGAACAAATAATAATAATGCCATTTTTACAGGCAATGCCTAAATATTATTTCCTTATTGAAGCTGTAAAAGTTAAGAAAAAAACAAATCATCGTGCCACACAAAGTCTTCTGGAGTAAACAATTGTTGAGATATTTCTGGTCACAAATGTTGGATGAAAGCGATATCGTTAAACAGCAATGGTGAAAATTAATGAGTCACAATGAGAAGTATGAAAAGCATCCTGGCAATAGTGAGTCATGTAATCTACAAGAGTATATTGAACGTTGAGAACAGATGAATCTGAAGATATGTCAGTATTCAATAAGTTTGTACTGTCTATAGATGGCAAGTGAATGTAGAGTTAAATACTGGGATGGACGGCGGGGGGAAATTTGGGTCTGGTATTGTATGGTATTCATGTAGAATGTAAACAGTCATTTGAATAAATAAGGCCAGGGATGCAATTCTATCCAGCTGCTGTTGTCATATTACGATGGAGAATATAAGAGGTTTTTTTCATGACTTCATCGAACTTACCCTCCTGGGGAACTAAGTATATAGTTTTTGTGAAGCTACTAATCGAGTGTTAACACAAATTGTGAATGGTGAGTAGTTTTTTTCTAAGTAATTGCAAGTCACTTCATTCTGTGTATACTTACATCGACTAGTTTCCAAAAGCACATCGCACAGGACGTACTCAATTATCTGTATACTGTAAGAAATATATAAGACAGTGTACTTTCAGTGGTTTGAAGGTGTGGAAAGGGCATTTCAGTGACTGCGCACATCTTTGTTGATTTATGAGTACTAAATGTCTCGTAGTGTAAGATATTTGACAAACTTGCTTATCTAAACCACTGGACTGACAGTGAGTACTTCTTTATTCCCTTTCCTAGTTATAAGTCCTGCTACACGTATAACGCAGGGAGTAACACGTGTAGCTTTCGAAATTATTGTTTAGATCCTCTAGATGATTCTTACCGGCATTAGGAGATGAAATTTATCAGTATTGGTTGACCCGATCATTTGTCCTCCGAACATAGTGGAACAAATTTATGATCAGTATGTCAGCAGAAAACACTCAACGATTATCTTCACATTACAAGATTTAATTATTTTAGAAACTCAAAAGTTGGATTTCATATGTTTTATAAATTAGGTTCACAGTATACTCAACTAAGCTATGGCTCATTGGTTTAGGTAGTTGACTTTCAACTAATACATTATGGTTTCGAACGCCATTCCACCTACCGAGAGGTTTGGACAGCTAGATAGTAGTATTATTAGCTTTCACTCAATAGGTCTGGCTCACTACCTATTGCTCCAATGTGCACAAGATTGCTGAGATCATTTCAGGTGAGCATACTCTAATTCGGATTGCAATCATCATTATTTCTCATCAAATCACTTTGTTTTATACTACTTTTGGGTTCCTTTATCTTCATATCAAGGAATTTTGCCTTATAGATGCAACAATCTTTTAACCTTTGTCAGATATTACTTATTCTTGATATCTTATTGTCCATAATAAATGGTGATATGACTAGTTGCATAATTCCAATTGTTTGCTTTCCAAAAGGATGACAAACCAGTATTGAAATCGTATTTCCACCTATTCTCAGTAGTAATAATTCTCTTCATTATATAATTACTAACTATACGATTTAAGTTTGTATACGATGTTACTTTTTTAATGCATAGTGAAAACTAGGAAATTTCCGGTGAAAAGAGTTCAGTCGAAAGTAGTATCGTCTTCTATTTGACAAAAGTTTCAGTGATTTAAAAGTTTATTTGAGTTTTACACTAAGCAAATCCCATCTCATTTGAAAGTGAAAATATTTCCTGTCAGGTAGACAGGTAAAATCAACGTAGAACTTCGCACACAAGTGATGCATCACTTCAAGTTGCCACACTTTCATAGTAGTATGCAAAGAACAGGTGGATAGAATAAGAGTCATATCAAAGTAGACGGAGTTGTGTGAAAAAATAAGCAGTTTGAAGATAATGGGTTATTGTAATTATTCAAGCTTCAGAAGATGCCAAAGAGTGATATAAATCTGTGCTATTTTGACTGATTTTCAGCTATGTCACCAAGAGTTCTCAACCGCTAATTCTTTTCGTCTCAGGAATCCCAGCCAAGCAGTCTACACCTCATTACACGGCTCACAACAACAGTAAGAGTTCTCATGCACTGGTGCCACATCTTAACCTGGCCACTCTGACCCTTCCTCCAAGCTAATCCAACTTCTAGCATTGCATATTGAAGTAGGCGGTACTTCGATATGCATAGTACTTATCCAAGCCATCTTAGTCGACTAAAGTTGACAACCTAATCAATCGACTTGCTTATCTTGCCTAGAAACCCTTCACTTGACTTCAACATGGCTCATATGGTGATTCCACCAGAATGTGACCAATGCAACTCAGAACACGAAAATGATCCTCATGAGTTATAAATTATTCTAATATAATTTCAAATTGTACAGTGAATTAATAATACTTTGGTCGAACTGAAGAATTTTTATTACTGAAACAAAAAAAGAAATAAAGTTTATTTACATATAACCCGTAGGAGATTTCAAGTTTCTGTTACAGTGACAAAAAATGGGAATTATTAGTTAATAAACAAAAGGGTAACTTCTGATCTGTTGTTTGCATTTGTTATTATATCGTTTTTCTTCAACATCAATCAGTGAGGAATAAAAGCGAAAAAATCCCACTCTAAAAATTTATTTAGAAAGTATTAAGCAGGGCAATTGTTCTCTGGAGAATTGTTTTTTAATGGTAAATTTTAAATTCCGCTTTGTTTATTTACACTAAAGTAAATTTCTCAAGACTGGTTTCATTTACATGAATTACTGTTTTATACGGTTCCCAACATGAAGGATCTGGTGTGGGTACCCGATATTTTGTAGATGAGCCAACCTTAGAGTTATTTAGATTTTCATCTTGTACTTCTCTCATGTCAACCACTGTAGCACAAGTGGTCGTACTTGTGGCTAAACTATCAGTTCCATTTGTTGTTGATGCTGAAGGCATTCCTCGAGCACATAAGGTTGGGGTGCCATTGTGTCTCATCTCCAAAACTGGAGTGTTTCCAGTAATAGTAGTCAGTGTTATAGCGGAAGGCGGATATGTTTGCTGTGTTTGAGGATTTTGATTCAATGTAGTTTTGTTTACATCTTTTATATGTACTGATGGTGTTAGGTTGTCTGTGTTAGGACTTTGAAATGCCGAGTCACGTGATAATGACTCTTCACCTTTGTGGAAATGTTGTTCAGACCACATTAACCCTGTGGGTGCATACCATCCAAGCTGAGACTCTTCTGCACTTTTAACGTTTCTTGATCGTCTGTTTGACTGAGAGCCTTGATAATCCAACCCCATTTCACTCGATGTATGCTCGACCACAGATCTGTCTAACGTGATGTTTGAACTTCCTCCCCGACCACTACCCCATTCTGAACCTGAACTGGGACCCCTTCCAGAGTCTTTATCTTCTGTTTCCGAACCTATTGATACACCAGAACCAAAACCTGGAGGTGGGGGTGGTAAGAAATTATGTGATGTATCCGGCGTGAAGTTTTGCAATGAATAAACACCGTTTCGTCTATCTATCTTAGTATTAAACATCACATTAACTTGAGTGGAACACGTTGGATTGGTATGTGGACTTCTGTTTGCTAATTCATTACTTGTCGTTGGTTGTGATGACCTGAATTCGTTATGTGTATGCAAGACTACATTTGTTGAAATAGGGCTGTTATTAATTTGAGAATCATCTACTGACATGAAATGAGCATTTGACGTTTTATCCCAGGATGATGTGGTCTTCTGATTTGTACACCTCAAACTGGTGATCTCACGGTTCGATAAAACTCTACAAGTTTGACGAGGAATGTATCCTGGTGTTCCTGTTGCTACTAGATGGTCTACACACCATCTACGTACATATAGCCAAAAGTTATTCTCTGTTACAGGGAACATTATTGTTTGTTGAGTCTCTGCTGCTTTTGTCTTCCCATCCATAGAATTGTTGTTTGTTGGACTTGGTAGGCTATGGTTTAAAACACAAACATACTCGCCCTGACGAACACTTAGCAATTTATATCTTTCTTTCCACTCAGCTGATGGACGAAAATCAATATTCACAACTGCCAGTAATTCACTATTTATAAGAGAAGAATTGTGTGTATAACTGTTAACTGGTAGTGTTAGGGGATTGAGTTTTAAATGTGTTGTATTAGGAAATTGAGATGAGATTATATGGTTTATTCTTCGGGATAATATGCACGATTGGGGATAGATAACAGGTGTATCTACATGGAATTGATTACAAATCCTTACAGGGGAAGAAAGTTTTAATTTTGACAATCCTATATCTGGTTTCCAATGTAAATCCATTCTTTGACTAGATGATATTCGTTTTGGACTTGTAGGACATTCATTAAAACTCCGAGGACTTGCTTCGTATTTTCCACTTGAAGTAGTTATCTGACATTGTTTATTTAGTTTACTTCTGCTAGTCAGAGCAGAAATAGTCTTTTCATCCCATCCGTAAGCTTCTAAATCTTCTTCACTGCTTGTACTACTACTGCTGCTCAAGCCTTGTACTGTATACTGACGACGTTTTTCACTGGCCACCCTACGATTCGTATATCGTTCACTTTCCTTATCCTTTTTACTTTTATGGTGTTTTGCTCCATTTTTCCGTGTTTTATGTGATTCGTTATTCTTTATTACATGTATATCTAGGCTAGAGCTACTGTCTGTTGTACTACTGTTCGGGGGATGATTCAATCTTTCTTGACTAGTCGTTGTTTCATCACTACTTGTACAGCTACTTAGTGAAGGATAACTGAAACCAGATGGATTTGTTTCATCGCTACTATCGTCTAACTCATCGATATCATTCAAACTTCCACGGCGATTGCGACCACTTACTCGAATTCTTTCACTAGATATTTCAGAATTCCATTGATGATGCGACGAACTAGGAGTAGAACTTTTGTGCAGAACATTTGAATTATCAGTATTAGTAGCAGTACTAATTTTTTCACTTAACGGTGGTGAAGGACTTGGTGATGCTTGCCATATCTGTGTCGGTAGAGTAGATTCAAAGGTGACTGATACACCTAATCCACGACGTATATATACTTCTGAAGATGATGATGTTATCCCGCCTGCACGTGACTTCTTCTTACCATTTGTATTCATTTTTCCATTTTTACCTTTGAGAGTAAATTTATTTTGTAGGTTTTCAGTTTGTTCTTCCGATAACTCATTCTCTTTTATATTCATTTCAATTTTGATTTTGAATTCAATTTCATTTTTGATTTTCTTGTAAATACTGAACGCATTTCTGTCTTGATTTGTAAAGATTATTATCGAGTGATGTTTACATTTAATGTAAGATGGAAATCTGAAATAACAGAACAAGTAATAAAAGAAAAGTGTTATTCTCATATGATAGTTCAGTATTTTACATAAAAAAGAATCATAATTATGTGCAAAATGTAATGCTGAAAATTGTTCTGGGTATTTGAACATCTCTGAATCTTTCTTCTATCATATATGATAGAGTTTATATCACAGAAAGCAGTATTTATCTATACTGTTTCTCAGATTTAGTAATCTCCATAATGCTGTGGGTCAGAGTATGAACTTATACATTATGAGGTGTAGTTTTTAGTTATTTTGATAGATAGTTTACCATCCAATCACTATCATGTAGAAATAAACAGGTACGTTTGTGTGAACGATGATGACAGTAAAATTTACCAATAAATGTATTTCTACTCATAATTAATTAAGTAGGATTTTTCATTTCTTCGAAAATCACGTCGTCGTACATCGTGAAGTAATATAGCTAGTTATATTCGTTTCTATACCTGCTGTGCACTTCCGGCTTTGAAGTGCTTAACAGACCAGAAAAAATACAGTTTATAAAAACAACCTACTTATTAGTAGTATCAGAGATTCTGAAAAGTTTCGTGATATAGTTTAACCAAGCGAAAAATAGTGGGTTGTGTCAAGGTCAGTCACGCGTACAAGCTGTTATCTTTGGAAGACGAAGGTGACCATTACTTTCTTTGTGATATGAACTCATAAGTAAGATCTATTGTTGACTTTAACTTGTCCATCAACAAGACATACACATAAGGTGGAAATATATGAACTCGAATTTCAACAGAAATTAATTTAAATCCAGGTCATAAGAAGTCATTTATGTGTATAAAAATCAGGTTACAACTGCTTTTCAAACAGCAAATAATGTTCTCACTCAGTAAAGCTAGTCACTATTTAGGATCCTGGTTATTAACTCAAAAAGCCTCTGTTGTTGTTTATGGCTTAGTGGACAATGCTTTGGCGTTTGAAGCGATGTGTACTAGGTTTCGAGTCTCAATGGGAACAATAACAACATCTAGCTAACGAGTCCCAGATAGGATAAACGCTTGTCCTGGATCCTACTACTAGCAACCAAGCTTCTATTATGTTTAATGTCCCATCAAAATTTGCAAACACCAGTTAACAGTGTATGAATACACTGAGTCTGTACAGAAATTCCTCATGAATTGTTGATTCGGTTTTTTAAGACAACATAATTGACCCATTGGTGTATTTTTTTCACACTATTCAATAAAGCGCCATAATAAAAAGCACCATTATTTTGTTGGTACGATAATATATAGCAATGCCAGTGAAGTAAAACTCTAATCGCCTTTAATTAACGTCATGGACTAGGAGATGAGAAATTCGATTCTACGAAGAAAAGTTTATCATAATGTAAATCAGTGCCTTCCAGTGATGTGTTTTTGTCTCATTGATTTGATGGTGGCTAGCAATGAAATCCAGAATCCATGTTTCGTCCTCTTTGGGACTTGTCAGCTGGATATACCTACACCTCAGTGAGTGATGTTATTCCCAGTAAGACTGGGTCGTGGCACCCATCGTTTCAAGAGTAAAGGCGTTATCCACTGGGAAATGTTATTTTCTGTTATACTAGCTAACAGAGGTAGGGAAAACTTAGACTTCAGAACACCTAAATTTTTAAAGGAGGAAAAGGATTCTGTTCCTCATTTGGTTGTAGGATAGATATAGATAGATACAGAGCGAAAATACAATGAAAAATATCGTTTGAATTAATGTCGAAATGGTCATTATCATTCATACATGTATTGTGAATAGTTTGATGCACCATCAGTAGAGATGTTACATACTCAGTATTAAATGACTTCGTAAGTAAGTCGGCTTGATATGAAGTTCACTATACTGTACAATCCATCAACCTGACTGATAATTTAGCCTCTAAATTATCCAATAAATATACTTCCACTTGATATATTTACCAGTTACTTGAAATGTAAGTCGACGGTGATTGGTACACGCCTACAATATGACTACAAGTGTTAAATAACTTGACACCAAGTTCTACTGTATCCGTCGTTAAATCGTAAGAAAAAGTTTGTGCTTACACTTAGCAGATGGTTGGTGGTCTTTGCACTGATAATTATTACTTCAAGAATTTCAAATTCCTAGAACCATTATGTAATCAAGGATAATCTCACACAAAGAATCAAATTCTCTTTGTGGATCACCATGTCTGACAGCTTTTTTTGCTTTTATTGCAATGAACTTCAAATACACATTATCTATTTATTGTTTTCCTCTCTCTCTCTCTCTCTCTCCATTTTTGCCGTCTTGGAGAATCAGCACACTTAAACATTTAAACAAATTATTTTACGGTTTCTACCTATAAAATGAAGAAAGAAGAATATAGGGGTAATAAACCATGAAAATCTATCACCTTGGCATTTTCCTCTTCATCGATTTCTGTTTGTATCAATACACATTAGCAAAACACAGATCCTGTCAAACTGAAAGTACATAATTTTTCAATGCTAACACAAGTATTTGACAGAATAATGTCAATTTTCTGTCTGCACTTCATCAACGGTTGTATTTGTTTGCCTTTTACTGTGGCTGTTGGTAGACTTGCATCTGTGCCAAATGTTGAAGATGAATACTACTCATAATAGTAGTAAATATTAGCGAAATAATACTATATCACATACATTAGCCTGAATATTAACTTAGTATATTAGTCATATTTAGGTGGTTAGTGTGGATTATGCATTATTAATCACATATATACCGATTGTATGTGAATAATGACTAATTCTACTACGAATCAATTTCATGAATTCACTTTTACAGATATTTCTTACAAAGGATGTTAACTAAAGTGAAATGAAAGCCTAAGCTGTTTTTATCCTAGATAATTCAATTCCTAATCAATCCAGATACTGTTGCAATCTAGCTATAACTGGCTTAGGCTGAAATGATAACATGTGTAAAACCGATAAGACGCTTTGCATCGACTTTCCGTGTTCATTAACGCTTATCAGAAATGCATATCTGCAGTTTTGAGAAGGTATTTAAATAACATTGAAGCTTTGAATTTGTATGCATTGAAGCCAGACAATTAAGAACTGTACTTCATTTACTAATCTAAGTAAAACAGCTTTTGCCAATGAAAGGGATGTATTTTGGTCAAATATTGGTCAGTTAACAAACAGAATCACGATAAAAGAATAATAATATTGACTTGTTAAGAATGCATCTCATATAAGTGGAGTGTAATTAAAATTGTATGCGATATGCTTGAATCTAAACTAATCTGTTTGTAATCTAGTGGGCCTTTAAATGATGATTGCCTTCAAAAAGAAAACAATATGATTTTCCCAAATTATATCACATGGCGTCATTTTGAAATGTTGTATAAGATGTTAAGTCATTGTTATGTCAAAATTTTATCGGCATGACTGAGTTCAAAATAGATGTACGTCAGTGTAAGACTGGATCTGCAATCTATACATGTTATACAGACTAGCAGACCGGTCATTTTTGTGTCATATTGGTACATATAGGGATTTCTGGTAATATTTCCCCTTCAGAGTTACTTATTGAAAGTTTGTAATGACTTATATTTCCTGTAGATGGTCAAAGTAGGTTGTCTTCTCGGTATCATTTGAGAGGCGCAGCCATTTTAACGACTGGAATCACTAAACCATTCAGTCAGTAGTAAAGGCGAGCAGGGCGGGAGGAAGCTTATCGGTGCTAATTCATGAGTTGTACTAATCAAAATTTCATTGTTCATGGGGAATAATTGTTATCCTCGATCTGAGTCACCATGGTAACGAAAAATCGTCTAACGCAACTAGATTTTTTTCATCCAGTGATCTCACTATACATGAATGATTTAATTAGACTTCAGTATTTACAGTTTTAGTCTTTTCATACTGTTTGCTTCCAGTGGGTATGTACTACGTTGATATAATAGGAAAAAGGAAAATGCTTCACTATAGCGCTTCTGAGCACATCCTTTTAATGTTAGACGCAATTCAAATAAGTTTTTCGTCAAAAACAAAGGAATTCTATTGTGATCAAGGTGGTGGCCAACAGCAAAATCCAAGACGCAAATTTTGTCCTTTCTGAGGCCCATCAGCTGGATGTACCTACACCTCAGCAAGTGGTGATATCCCCCATTGAGACAGAGGTCGAGTAATTCAACTCAGTATACTCAACTGAACATATAACTCACTATTTCACGTCATTGCATAATGAATTCAACTAAACATCAGATGTGTGACATTTCATTGAATGAAAATAATATAGTGACTAACGATTTATTTCATGGAAATTTCTACTATTTTCATCACTAAATACACTTAGCCTTAAACCTTTATTCTCATGTATTATTCTACATCCAAAAAGTTAATACAATTAAAATATGGTGTGAAAACAATCCACAATCAGTTGAAAATATTTCAATTTTAGGTTTATATTCACCATGGACTGATACCAGCTGGAGAACCACTGGAGACCTGCGAATACAGTAAAGGTGTTCCGTCTCACTATGAGACTCCTCAGCAGTGCGCACCCATGAACTCTCCAGGATTGGACTCCAGGTTCCATGTTGGGCACGCTAGCACTGAGTCACTGCGTTGGCAGTCAAGCGTATACATTTCCTACTTCCTGTAGGTCCAAGATATGGCGCGACCTCCATCCAATGCCATTGTTTTTAAGTACCCGTCATCATGTCTGACTTGGTTGGTCGCACCACTCACGACTTCGTACTAGAACTTCGGGAAATCTCTTCTCGAAGCAAGTCACTAATGAGATTATCATCTTGGGTGAATGGATCGCTATGAAGTCTTAATAGCTTTGAACTCATTCCACCTCTGAATATGTGTTAATCAAGATGTAACGTCAAGTTTTCAATGATCCCTTGATGACACATACACACACACAACTGCAATCAGACGTCAACTGAGAAATGTCAGCACTTGAACGCGGATCAGAGACATATTCATATAAATAACTAAATGAAAACTAATCCTAACTAAACTTCAAAAATACTTTCATATCATAAGAACTAATTAATAAATTTTGAGGAATAGAATTCTGACAGAAAATTAGGCATTTAACCAACATGAACATAATCATCTTTTTTCGTCTAACTGAAACATTTTACTGGATAGGATCTTGCTGTTTGAAGTGAATTTATAAAATTTTGACTTCATAGGAAAGAATACCAGTTACTAGTCTGTTTTAAAGATGCAATCCAAGTGTATATAAGAAATTGAAAAATATGTTGAGCCATTATAAAACTGTCCATAAAACGAGTTCTTTTACTGTGAAATCAGTGAATAAAACTTCAAAATGATTGACTTGAGTAAAAAAAAAGAGAAATGTTGAAATAAAACTGCATAGATAAAATAAGTCCGAGTAATGAATAGTATTCCCTTTATTCACAGCCTATTGGTTTTTTTTAAGCATTGGAAGAGATTTCCTCATCTAAGGTTTTTGGGTACAATAACTTCTTCGATGTAATTAGGCTGGAAGGCATAGATACACTAACACTTATATTACATTGTCACAATCATCAAAATTATGATGGTAGAAAAAGAAAAGATAAGAACAGTTGGCGTCGTCGTTTAATCTATAAAATATCATGTACACATGCTGTGTATTTTTTTTTTGTATTTAAGTTGGCTTATGAAAATACTTATTTCAATACAACTAACTAATAACTTTACCTGCATGGGCTTTAGTCAAAACACCTGCTGGGTTTTCGTTAGGTGACGAATTACAA